AATAGATATGTCCCTGTTTTCATAGACATTGTATCTTTCATATGGTACTTTTATACGAGTTATTTCCCTTACGATATACTTCAAAATATCTCACTTGTAATTTATAGGACAGTAACACACAAAATCTGTATAGGTAAGTAATCCTTAAATATAAATAAGCAAGCAAGAAATGAAAAGTCAGCTGTTTAGAAGAGACGAAAGGATTACACTGACCATTACAGCATCTAATGCCCAGGTACAGGTACTTGTGTTTGTAACAGATGCAATCAGAGTCGTAAAGTGTACATAATGTGCGATGTATAATGTACCAGCCTTGCCTGTCAATGCACTCTTTTTACTATTTAATGAACAGATTAGATAATGAGACAGACTTTTGATCATGAATTCTCTGAAAATCGGACATCTTTACCTCTAAGCACAGGGGTTCGTCACAAGCACACATGTATCTAATACATTTCGATAGTGACTTGTTCATGTGACATTTGCTCACAGGAACACATAACATATATTTAATTTTATACTTGTAAATAAAGTGGAATATGCACGACCTTAGCAAGTATAAGACAGGGATCTAGTTATTGGACGACTCATTTGCATGAACAATAAAAAGCTTGTCATGTAAACCTTGTAATGTGGATTTAACATCAGAACAGAGAAAAGCTGACCTGTGTTTTCTTTAAATTTTTGTTTTCAAGCTGGAACTTATTTTACGAATAATGGGCCAAATGGACTTTACCCACTCTGAAAGTAAATACAACGCAGAATAGTCTTTTTTAACCAATTATCTGACATAGTCTTCAACAACATCCATAAATATCTTGAAATTCACATTCCAATTAACAAACGGGGTTTCATGATATTTAGGACCCTTCATGAAGAGCGCTCATCGCTTAACATTTTGAATAATGCTTAAATCACCAGTTACTGAATAGAGGTAGAAAAAGAACAAGCTGACGGAGGAATAGTTCCTAGGTCATCTACATTCAGGTGCTGCAGCGTTCGTTTGTAGTTGAAAAAGTATGGATGCTATGGACTTGGAGTAACTGTAGGAAATGACAGGGGTGTTTCTACTTTGTACGTATGGTAGAATGTTAGCTTGAACTGATTGTTTAGAGCATCAGCTCCCTTATTGACAAACTCAGCATTCATAAATTGGTGAGTTGTTGTAGGGTTCCAATTCAGTTCTAAGACTAAAAATACAGTTAACAGATCATAAATATATTCCAAATCTGCCGTCTTGTAGTAATGGAGGTTATAGTTGAAAGATTATAAATCGGTTCATGGATTAACATCAGTGTTCAAAGGCTTTAATTACGGTTCACAGACTGTACATATCCGCTTCCGGTAGCCTGCAGTATTCATATTTACAACCGTACTACACGGGGATACCGTCGCGAATTTCAAACACAGTCTTGTTACTCCCGTTTCTAACTAATATATTGATACATCAAATAAGCAAAACATCAGATTATACCTGAAAGGTAAAACGTATGTGATTACATATGGTATGATTGTCGCCAACAGTATTCATTCTAATACAACCATTACAATCAGAGATGACCACATCACCACCCCAAAGTAATGTCAGTTAAGTTGTCTTTGTTCAGGTTTGATCCCTTGGTTATTTTCTTTCATCTGTGTTTCCGTGTTATGGTATATAAGCAAGGATCATACAGTTCATAAATGCACCATAATGTTGTGAACACTTTAACGCCAAACACACCCATGTTGATAAGATTGTTGTGTATTTTGATTAATAATACTGTATTAGTTGTTTAAGTAGGAATCAGTCAGAGGAAACTAGATGAATGTTAAACATTCTCTTTATACTTCGACCCAAAAGTCTGCATTCTTCTGTAGTTATCAAACTAAATATCTACAAACAAATACCAGGCACCGAGATCGATAAATCAATACAAACAGAGGACCTCGGCAAGTCAAGGAAGAAGCGTTTTTCTTACCTTGACGGAAAAGCCCGAGAACATCCGATTGTTGAGCGATTCAGTTATGCACATTTTACGAACTATGTTGGCATTGAAAAAAGGAAGATGACAATAAACATGAAATAAAAACGGTGTGAATCTAACGAACGATAAATGATGGGTTTAGATATTATAGATAGATCACAACAAGTTGTCTGTAGCATTCTGGATATTCACACAGCCCTTCCCCCAAGGTTGCTCCCCTCACTAACAGTGGGTCAAGATTAACGTGAAGGATGTCGACACCAACGATCTCGTTAGGATATTTCTATTTCAATTTCATCCTATTTCCCCGAAGATGTGAACTTGCGGTCTTAGAATCCTAAATTGTACAGGCTCACAGACTATAAATACCTTCCAAGTATGCAGTATTAAAGTTAAGAAGTTTATGGTTAATAAAATGTAGTTACAGTAGTACACAGACTATAGAAACAGTACACAGACTATAGAAACAGTAAACAGACTATAGATACAGTACACAGACTAGAGATACAGTACACAGACTAGAGATACAGTACACAGACTATAGAAACAGTAAACAGACTATATATACAGTACACAGACTATAGATACAGTACACAGACTATAGAAACAGTACACAGACTATAGAAACAGTAAACAGACTATAGATACAGTACACAGACTATAGATACAGTACACAGACTATAGAAACAGTACACAGACTATAGAAACAGTAAACAGACTATAGATACAGTACACAGACTATAGATACAGTACACAGACTATAGAAACAGTACACAGACTATAAATACAGTACACAGACTATAGATACAGTACACAGACTATAGAAACAGTACACAGACTATAGATACAGTACACAGACTAGAGATACAGTACACAGACCATAGATACAGTACACAAAATATAGATACAGTACACAGACCATATATACAGTACACAGAACACATACTATAGATACAGTTCACAGATTATGGATACAGTACACAGACTACAGCTAGAGGACACAGACTACAGATACAGTACACATAATATATATACAGTACACAGACTATACAAACAGTACACAGACCATAGATACAGTACACAGCCTATAGATACAGTACACAGACTATAGATACAGTACACAGACCATAGATACAGTACACAGCCTATAGATACATTACACAGACTATAGAGACAGTACACAGACTATAGATACAATACACAGACCATAGATACCGTTACCAGCCTATAGTTACAGTACACAGCCTATAGATACAGTACACAAACTATAGATACAGTACACTGACTATAGATACAGTACACAGACTATAGATACAGTACACTGTCTATAGATACAGTACACAGACTATAGATACAGTACACTGACTATAGATACAGTACACAGACTATAGATACAGCTCACAAAGTATAGATACAGTTCACAAAATAAAGATACAGTTCACAGCCTATATGTACAGTACACAGACTATAAATACAGAACGCAGACAATATATGCAGTACACAGACCATAGATACAGTACACAAACTATAGATACAGTTCACAATACATATATATGATCAATGAACTGTTCAGACAAATGAATTTTCAAATTTTCGAGGCAGTCTGGTTATTTTTCAAGACACTAATATTATCTAAATTACATAAAAACTTAAAACAACTACAATGTTATAAAGTTAGATCGAGAGCGGTGGTATAAATGTAGATGTCTCGATAATCCTTTCGGTCGATAGACTGATGATAGCAATTCAGTCAAATGATGTATACACAACCATTCAATGAGAAAGGGACATGTAAATATTTAGTATTATCTCATTTATGTCGGATTTATTTCTTACCTTGATATCTGAAGGGAACATATTTTGATTAAACATAAAAATATGTTATATTTACCAAACACAAACACTGATTACGCTGTCATCTTACTTGATTTGTCACGCTATTCTTGTCCTGCTACTTACAAATGACTATACTGTACATCCGGATTTCCGAATCATGGGGTAAAGACCAAAAACTTTTTTTTATCACAAGAGCACATCTTCATATGCAACATAGCAAGGTCAACACGAAAATACCCATATGTCAAAACAATTATAATCAGAACTTGAACTGGAACTAAAGAAAAGAAATATTTACTCTGAGATTCCTGAAAAAGGTCAAGGATAATCAGATCAGGTGTTTCGAAATGATTTATGTATATATATATTCGAGAACAATTATAAGGATATTGTAATATTAACAATGAAATAGACTGAAGGAGATAGAGGAAGTCATTATGACTATATAAATCCCAAATCCAGAAGTCAACATTGTGTCAATACTTTTATGTTAACAACGAAGATTTTTCCAATAGTTCAGTGTTGCAACATGAACGAGATAATTACTTTGTGTACATACATTGCCCATAAAGCTAAGCTGCGTTCTGATAACTACAGTATCGCTTGCCAAATATCAAATTTGTTGTTTTAGTCATCTGTTATTAATTTTGGTAATATATCAATAGCGTGATTTGGGACATTCATGTTTATGCGTTAAGGAGGCAAACTGTTGTTCGTAAGAGTTTTCGTGTTTGTAGTCAGTCAGGTGGTCAATTGTTACATTATAGAGACGATGTTTACACAACTTCACCTCGGTGTGTTATGTCGAAAGTTGTCTAAATGATGTAGTTATCCTTAAATGTTTTTAGGGAAATAGTACTTCAGAAACAGCATGCTAAAAATCATTCATAGTAATTGCTCTTTCTCAGAGGCGTTTCCGTGTACCTTTGCGTATACGGATAATGCTTATAGTAGGTACTTCAATTACTATACACATGTTGTACTATAATGTTTTTCGAGAAAGACATAAATATTACAAAAATGTGTGCAAGTAACAGTACAATGAAAAGAAACCATATAAAGTATATAAGTAATACTCCAATGGATTAAACACTACGACCACTGCAAGCGCTTATACGACCTACTGTATCGACGGCCCTTATCCAGCCCTACTGTTAGAATAAATATTTGGGTGATCCAGATTGTGACCTTTCCATGATGGCGCTCTCTAAAGTTACCGACACGTTTGCAGAACTACCCTTGAGTGTGAAGGTTATTGGTGGGACTGCAGTTGCTGGGACATTTTTCTTAACTGTCTGGAGGAGGCTCAGTGTCCGGAAATCCGAAAGGTAAAGTTGAATTGAGACAGTGATGTGGCTAGAATAACATGATACTTGCCAAACGTAATCATGCGTCAGCAATGTTAACTTAACCTGTATCATATACACCAAAAATGATAATGTTCTGATATGTTATCGACCTTTCAGGTTTATCAACAGTTTCATTTCTTTATAACCAGGAAGGTGTACCCCCCAGATACCATTGTTATCTGTCAGATAGGTCGAGGGCCACATGTTCCTAGTTTATCGAATTTTGCAATTAAGATTGAGACCTACTTACGTTTGGAAGGCATACCATATCAGGTAAGTATATCCGGATATTTCACTTCGAGTCTTGTCCTTGATATTGATAACTTTCTTGTGTCTTCATTATTTTGCAAACTGTTTAAATGCATTGCATTTGTTCAATAATGGTAACTATTCTTATTTACAAATTGATAGTCAATCGTTTATTTTTGTAACTTTCTCATGTGCCGACATTACCTCACTATGAAAAAAATTGCGAATACATTCATATAACTGTAAATGACATGTACATTACCAATAAAGTTAATATAAATTCAGCATTCCATGTTTTCCGTTGGTTATCATTGGTTTTCAGATTTTATTAGATGTGGATAATAATATGCTATAATACTTTCTCTCCTGAGACAATTGGCCGACATATAAAGTATAAAGAAAACAATGAAAACGAAACCAACCTTAACATCAGACTATTACTTTCTATTTACTGACGTAAATCGCATCCTCAGTATATCCTTTGGAAACAGAAGTAGATAAGAAATAATAACATGATATATATATACATGTGAATGCAAGCTCAAAGATCTCAGATGAATGACGGGAAGGCAATCTGATAAAAGCATAAAAATCCAACTTCGTTGTGTGGTTAAGGACTTGATTCATTGATCAAATTAAGGTAAGCTCAGGTGTACACATAGGTATAATAGGTAATCTGATCCGTCTTCTGTGTCATATTTGTATAGAAACTTAAATCAATTCATCTGTTTCCCATTATCACGATTTTCTTACAAGAAGTCGTCATCTGAAGGGCAAACTCGTGATACAGGCTTCAAAAGATGCCGAATGATGAAAATTATGGGCAGTCATGCTGATCGCATTGATAAATATTATAAATAGATTTACACGGCGGATGTCGTCGATTAAGCAGAATACGCTTACTCTCCTGGAGCAACTGTTTTTTTTCCTCTCTCTCTCTCTTTGAACGTTTTCAGGAGGTTCCGCGTAATTTATTCTTGTTCATATTTGACTCTAACTTTATTTAATATGGCTGCTGATTTAGGGTATGTTTACAAATTGTTTGTTTATTTTTTGTTTCTCTCTCTCTCTCTTTTCAGGTTGAACATAACAAGTTTAGGAGAAGCAAGAAAACAGGAAAAATACCATTTATAGAGTACAACGGAGAGGAGGTGTCCGATACTGAGTTTATTCTCGAGTTCCTCAGTAAGAAGAAGCGCTTTGACCTTTACAGAGGTCTCACATCAGAACAGATTGCAGTCGGCAGGGCTTTCCAGAAAATGATAGAGGAAAATTCGTATTGGTATATAATCTCCATTTTACATGTCAATGCAGATACAGGATATTGTTGATATACTTGAGGTTTTATGAACACTTATCATTACAAATGTTTCAAGGAAATTAGTCCCAATAAGGTCAACTTAAAACAAGGGTTAGTTGACCATGAATTATCAGCAGAAGTCATTTGATATTGTCCAGCTAGATACCATATATTTATATACAAACAGAACTTATGAATTCGTTTAAAGAAATATTCATATACATATGTATGTGTATATGATGCTACATGCCGGAAGGAATTAATTCATATTTCTGTTCTTTATCTAGGTGCGTTTTGACTGAGAGATGGGTCCATGAAAAAAGTTATGCTATACAGAAGGCGATTGGTGTTCCTCGTTATCTATGGTATTTGCTATATAGATATATATTTTCAAATACTTTATACTTTACACAAACATGCTAAGCAGAACACATTCTATTGCTTTGTTTGATACGATTGCTCAAATGATTATCGTATCTTTTTATCCTTTTGTTGATTTATAGATAAATGTAAAAATTTTCTTTCGATTATTTTATTTACCTTTACATTTTATTCCTCACATTTCATTATTATCAATTAAGTGTTTCAGTGAGTATTAAATGATCGATGTGGTATTTATCATTATGTTATCACTGTCAATACTGAAATCCTAATTGTTTGATTATGTATTTAATACATTAATGTATAGTGTATTCACAATTTCGATGTGACCGAATAAACAAACATGTCTGTCATGTATTAAGGGGTACATTACAAAGGCAAATGAAGAAAATGGTATATGTCCAAGGAATGGGACGCCACACACCAGAAGAGATACGTTACATCTTCTCAGAAGATCTTAAGGCCCTGTCTACTTACATTGGTAAATATTTTCGCACTACATTACCGATTCTCGATCAGAATTTTGTCTTTGAATAACTTTACGTTTGGGAAATCTATTGATTGATTGGTTATGCACTGTATAAAATCGTAACTAAATGTGAGCAAAAGATGGTAAGTGGATCGTGATAATAAACAGCTATATTGTATATTGATAATATGATAGCAGATAGAGGCATCTGTTCCTTTTTCAGATAAAGCAACCCGTATTTTGAAACATTTTCTTCGGGTTGATAATGTTAATAGAATATAAGTTCTTATACCACAACCAGTAGAAGATGAGAGTGTAGTGTAGTACACTCTACAATGGTCAGTTGTCTGATGAAGGTGACAATATAGTCAGCGAAATGTTACATAGATAAAAAAAAGTGATGCATGTGCTATCTTAACTTTCATAATATGAAATGACAGCGAGGATAACTAAAAGTGGTCTTTTTCAGGATCAAAGAAATTTCTTTTTGGAGAGGAAGCGTGCAAATTTGACTGTGCTATTTTTGGACTTCTAGCTAACATATATTGGGCGCCGTTCGATGGATTAGTATCGTCTGTTATCAAAGGTGGGACTGATCAAGATTTTTTGTGCTGTTAAATAACTTGTATATTAGATATCTAATACCAACTATCTATATCAATATATTATTACATTGAATAGTATCAAGCCTTTATTGTGTGTTCATTCAAGATATTAAATTTTGAATGCTAGTCAAAAACTGGAATATATAAAACTCAATTATCACCTAAATCGCGATAGGATGGTCTACCTAAATAATCTTGTTCATCTGTCTGTTTGCCTCTCCATATCTTCCTGGACCTTGTAGCTATCAAGGTAAAAGAGACACTTTTCCAAATTTTTGCACATCAATACCTTCTGATGGAGCGATCTGATTTTTCCTACGCTTGTTCGGAACATTTATTACCTAAACGTTGTACGCTTTATTCGGCAAGTTCGCACATACAGATAACGAGGCTGCTAAGAACTGATTGTCTAAAGGGTTTCTTACACACTCTTCTGAAGAGATGATAAGACTTTAATATATTTACCCATTATATTGATTAAATAAAGGTTTTGTTATCTTTTTGCTTTGACAAGTTAAGTGTCGAGCATTTTGAATATTTTCGGTGTGGCAATTTAATGTGAAATGCAGATGTACAAATATGATTTTTTTTAAAGCTAGAAAATAATTGAGCATTTTTTTTCATCTCTACTTTTATAACTCTGTAGTCAAATATTGTTGTCAAATATATATTAAGGCCATTTCTGACGTATTCGGTGTTTAGTTACATGTATGCCATATACCAAATAGGTTTTTAATTACGCGAATCAATTATAATAAACAAGCTAACAATATGAAATCGTCTGTGATAGCAACAATGGTGCTGAAACAATGTTAATGATGACGAGTGTATCAAGAATAAATACATTCCAGATATAGTTCGAACCTAGTATTCACTGACTAGGGTGATTAAATATTTTAATATTATAGAGAACAAATCAGCTTCATCAGTCTGACATAACCACCCAAAGATTCAAACATAATAAGTGTAACAGGTCTGGCGTTAATACGATTGACTGAATATCTTTTTCTTAATTTTCTTGTATACAAAAAATATATACATGGATATTAATCGCATACATTTGGAAGAATTTTAAAACTATATATAAATTAAACATATATCTTAACGCAAATTGCTGACAAGATATATATTAAAGTATGGGGAATATTACTGATCGATTTGATCTGCATTTATAATTGTTTTTATACAGAATATCCTAACTTGTGTGAATACTGTGAACGAATGAAGGAAGCTTTCTGGCCTGACTGGGAGGAGATGATACAGAAAGACTGTACCAGGTAGTCAACACATCCGAACATATTTTCATTGATGGAGGCCTTCAATTGTCACCAAAGGAGAATCAAAACACCTTCCAGGGAATGATAGTTATATACTGTGTTGATTGTCATGCAGATAAGGTTTTCTACTGCAAAGATACGATCCTACGGACAGACCTGTAGATGCTGCAAACCATGGTAGTCGAACAATTTTGTAGAATTGTGTAAACGAAATCATATATATCATCTCTTTATATGTGTAATTGTTTTTCCTTTATTTATAGATCCTCACCTTTCGTTATGATATCCATACGTTTGTACCCACTATTAAAAAACAGAAAAAGAAAAACTGTAGATTATTTTTTTTCAGTAAAATGTCTGGATTAATGATTTTATTCAATTTACAACGTTAAATGTGTGCGTAACGTGTGGGCAACGTGCTATGGACACTCGTTATTTAAAAGCCTTCATCCTATTTTATAAACACCTCTATATATATACATATCTCCAGTTTCGTTACTTGTAGATATGTTTTTATCGCTCTTACCAATCTAATGGTAAGGACCTATGTTTTTCTGTTGTCATTCTTAATCGCTCAAACGTTTTAATTGAACGAATATCTGCATTTAGGTGCTATGGACTTCTGATACTATGACGCGATGACCGACTTTCACATGGATCATTAATGATACTATTTGGGAGCTTAGTTTTATTTTGAATGTTTCACCTTTTTTTATTGTAATATTCCAATCGTGGTTTCAGAATGTAAAAATGTGTGAATGACTGTCATGCTTCACGATCTGGATGAACCAAAAGGCACACAAGTGAATAGCACTTTTCAATACAAATATAGTGTTAGATACAGTAGAGCCAGACAATAAATTTCAATGTATTATATATCTGTTTCGTCTTTCTAGAACTCTTCAGTGATGTTTGACTGCTTAAATTTCAAACCTAAAAGTCAAAAACTAGATAAGGAATTGCAAAATTCCAATAATTCATTAGGTTTCGTTGAAAACATATATGTGAATCTGATAACATTAGAAGAGCAGTGCCACTTTTTGAATGAACAAAAACGTGGTATGCGCTGCTCTACCTCGACCTAGCTAGGTTGCATCAGTAAAAATCTTAACTTTTAACTCTGACGCACTAGTGTACAAATCATTAAGTAATCATTTAACACAGAGCGGCGCCGTGTCCCATTTTATTTTCTGTACATCTTTAATGATTAATTTGACAGTTGAGGACATTCTACAAAATACCTTCGAATACACGTGGATGTTGTTAATCAATTGTGACTGTCCATACTATTACATTATTCAGTGCGTGATTTATTGAATTGAAAAGAAAGTTGACAACAGTTTATTTATATTTGTATTTTGGGTTGGAAGTGTCGTTCATTACCATTTCGTCAGAAATTCATTAATAAGATAAACAAAGAAGAGAGAAGTAATTCGGATGAAAAAGTCAGTTTAGTAAATTATTACATGTTTACATCCATTACAAGCTTTTAGACGACCACTATGTTGTCCTCCCTTATTCGACCCTACAGTTCAAAATCAATATTTTGGTTTGTTCCAGAATGTTTCCTTTTCGTTAAGGCGCTCTCTAAAGTTAACGACACGATTGCAAAACTACCTTCCGCTGTGAAGATTATCGGTGGGGTACTGGTTGCTGGGGCAGTTCAGTTAACTGTCTGTAAGAGGTTTTATGTTGGCCAAAAAGAAAATTAGGTTTGAAGTATAGAACTGTGATGCAACTCACTTCATATGATCGATGCCAGGGGCGATAACCCAAAAGCAATATCTAACACTAAGAATGTCATATTACAAACCGTTGGTTATCTCTTGATAAGTTTCCATGTTTCCAGGTCCATCATTGTTTTTTGTACAGGAAGATTTATCCACCAAATACCATTGTTCTCTATCAGATAGGGCGTGGGCAATACGTTCCCAATCTATCGAACTTTGTTATTAAGATAGAGACCTACTTACGTTTGGAAGATATACCATATCAGGTAAGATCATAAATGAAAGATGAATTACTTCGAGTTTTTTGTCATTGATATTTGTATTTGCATAATAGTTAGTAATATATACAGATTCATCGGGCAAATCCTAATTTGATAATGAATCATTCATATTTTGTAAGTCTTAAAGGTCGATACTGTAACGCATGATATGCCAATAGAATACAGTCGAGGATACATTTACACAAGTGTTAATATGATATAGGTAAATTTATGTTTCTATTCGAAATATGATACACACGCTTATGTCATTTACTTCAAATATCAACATCAGATAACATAACAAATGTTTACATAGTAAACACGGATAAACGGTAATTGAAAACTAGCATTTGGAACAACTTTTTAGGTTTATCAAAATATTTGATCTGCTATCGATTGTCATTGTTTGTATTTAAAAGGTGTCTGATCTGAGCGTATTGCACAAAAAAAGCAAAAAAAAAAAAAAAAACAAAAAACAAAAAACAAAAAACAAAAAAACAAAAAAAAATCAGAAAACAAAACACAAAATTAAAAACAAAATAAAAAAAACGAAAATACCAAAATGTCAACAAAATCATGATTCAAGCTCAAATTCCGTAAAGCTAGGGCACCTTATAAACCATTTACATGGGGACTCCTGAAAAAGTACAAGGGGAATAAGACAGCGTTAGTATGCGTCTTCTGCTTCATCGACAACACCCGCCATAAAACCTTGGCCAATCCAGTAAGTAATGTCAGGTTCTCTAATGAGAACAAGGTATACAATAACGGAACCGACAGGCAAACTTGCGAGCATGAAACACGTCCAGTTTCATGTCGCACAAAAATAATGTGTCCCGATTAGATTACTACGGTGACATGAAACTTCTCCATAATTATCCTCAACTTGCATCTTTTGAAGCTCTGTGCTACAAGTTATAATATTTCCTATTTTCCGGCAACTGTTTGATGGTTAGGTAATAGAATATCATGATAAAGTTGAACAAAGATTATTATTTAAGATTCAGTTTAAGTTTTTTTAAACTTTGTATGTTGTTTTTTTCTTATTTGTTTTTACTAACAGAAACACATCGGGCATTTACATGTTTACATTATTTACATTTAAAAGAAAGTATGATGTTTATGTGTCCAATAAGTTCAGTTATTTGCCTATTAAATTTTGTTTTTTGTCTAAGAAATTAGGAAACTGACTTTTAACTTCTTCACTTAAATGCCTTGGTCTGTTCTCACAAATAATTGACGGTTTTCGTTTACTATCCACCATGTTGACTGCTTCTATGTATCAAGTTCCAATTAATCCTTGTAATAGAATAAGTATGTGCTGCGTCCCGATCTGAATCAATAAAACGCTTTGCGAACATTGAGGACATTTTCTATTAGGTCCTTGTAATTTGGACGTTTCGGGTCCAACTTTTCTTATCAAATAAGTATAGAGTTATCCTGTTGTGAGATGAACAACACACAAAGACGTGTCAATAGACTTGAATTGGTTTTACTTTTCTGCCAGGTTGAGCATACCTTGTCCAGGCGGAGAAAACAGGTAAGATGCCATTCATTAAGTACAACGGAGAGGAGGTATCCGATAGCGAGTTCATTCTAGAGTTCCTCATTAGGAAAAAGCAACTCGACCTTCACAGAGGTCTTACCTCAGAGCATGGCCTTCCAAAAAATGTTGGAGGAAAATTTGCACTGGCGGTGTATCCCTCAACAATATCTCTAGCTTTACATTGAATATCAAGCCGTTAAGTCAAAACTAAGACGTATTCTATTTGCTATCGTAAGCTTAAACAGGTATGTAAAGAATGATATTTTTCTCTTGAAGGATCAAAGAAATTTGTTTTCGGTGAAAAAGCGTGCAAATTTGACTGTGCTATTTCTGGACTCCTGGCTAATATATATTGGGCACATTTCGATGGATTTATAGCATCTATAATTAAAGGTAAGATTGATCTGTGTACTTCAATGACATTCATTAATTTGCCCCTAATGGGACATCATTAACCCCCCCCCCCCCCCCCCCCCATTAATTACTGTTACTTCTCTCTGTTGTGTGTACATACAGTCACCTATGTAATCAATCTAATATTTCTAAGACGGAACTCTTGAATGTATCTTTGATATATTTGTTCAGAATATATAACTTTCAGGTATATAATTGAATTATCAATCAATTAAGTGAATTCGATTGATGGTGCTATTTCTGATTGTTTATATACAGAATATCCGAACTTGTGTGGTCATTCTGAGCGAATGAAGGAAGCTTTCTGGCCTGACTGGGAGGAGATGATACAGAAAGACTGTGTCAGATAGTCAACACTTCTGAGCAGCCTTTCGTTTGATTAAAGATTCAGATTGTCATCAAATATGTATAATTAAAGAGGAATACATGTATATCATTTTTCTAGGTGGCGACAGTTATGTACTACGATCCTTGCCACGCAGATGCTGTGTTCAATCGTGAGGATGCGATAAAGATCAGTCAAAACAAGGCATTTACTAAATATATTTGATATGTGATTACATGTCATTTTAATATATTTGTGGTTGACATATTGATGGAAAAAAGCGGTGAATATATATACAATTCGGAGTTGGTTTTTCCAGTGGACAAAATGGGAATTTTTAGGCTTTCTTAACGCTCTCATATAATTGTGTCACATACACTGGCATGCCACAGATATAACGGTGCTGATTGGATATTACATATGTAAAAGCTATGTGAAGCTTTTTCCCGTATAAATTCACAGGTAGATAGTTGTTTGATGTTTCGATCAGAGAAGATAAATGACTCGCCCTCATAATACCAACTGCACATATGTTATCATCTTCCGACTGGTATATGAATTTAAATAGCTGAAATTATATTCAAGTATGTTTATACTGGTATAACCCGAAGTAATACAATTTTATGTTTATAAGCAAACGTGTGCTGGGTTTTTTCTTTTAAACTATATATTTAACGTTACTTGAATTGCAATCTATCGATAGAGTATGGTACAGTTTCTTAGAAAATATATCATCGCATGTTTTATCGATATCTGTATGTTACATGTATGTAAAAATGGTATGCCTAATTTCAATAAATGACAATCCTACTACACGTCTTTGTGATTTTTTTTGTGTTAATTACCTCCCTTCATTACCAGATACTTGCAAAAATGTATTTGACCAATATTACACTTATTCAAGAAATTAAACTTACAATTTACATCTAAAAAATCTTTATACTAACATTATGTATTGAAAAGTCTTGAAACCAACACCATGTATGCACATGCATTATTTCTCCGTATTTATTTACGAATAGCCTGTTACAGACATTAATCCATTGTTATCGTATATTCTTCTAATCCATGGTTGATTGACTTTAACTGAATAGTACAGTATTTTGTTTCGAATAGAAATCGAACAATAAACGTCTATGATTATAAAAGAAAGATCTCGTAAAAAAAGTGTTGATTTCGATCTTCAGTACCATCACCACACAATCATTATCAGGTTGCATGTGATTTCAGAAGGTGATGAAAAAGAATTTACAGTAATTTGAGCATCATTGGAACATTTAAACGGATGTTGGTTATATCAAGTTATTGATGGTCTACATTTGGGAGGGTAGGTGCTAAGTATTTTATAGATATACATTGGAGAATATAAAGTAGTGTCTTAAAAGTGATATTATACAAAAATGTTTATGTGTTCCGCCAATTTCTTATCAATGATTCAAACATCCATCGTCAAAAGTTCTGGTTTATGACATGTTGAGTTAAAGGATTGTCAAGTTTATTTCATGGTTGACCTTGAACTACCTTCAAGGTTACAAGCAGAACATGTATCAAATTTTCAAGTGACTTTTCTCAGTATCTACATTGTCAAGGGTCAAATGTTAAACAACATTTAACTGAGGTCATGATATTTCATTTTTATGAGCAACTGATTTTTAATAAACGGAATGGTTGATCTTAAGCTAGAAATTTGCAGGTATTAAGTGATGCAAAGACTATAAAATTGTTTTGACCAATATTCGTTGTCATAGATGGTGACTTAAACAGAACACTTCAATGGGAAAAATCTTACTTTTTTCTTTAAATCATCGGTATTGAATTATAATCTGACGATTAATTTTAATATGATCTATATGCATCAGTTATATATATACAGACTTAGTAAGACTTTACAATCTAGTCCATATTTCTCTCTCCATAGTACCATGTCTGAAACATCAAATATTTTATGTCTGAACATCAAACTTGATTACAAATAACAAAAGTGCAAATCATCGAATTTCTTTAAAAGAATGTATTTCGAAGTCACCATATCTATTGTAGAATATTCATACTTGTTTACGTTTGTTGAGTCAAAGTCTGGAAGTGACCTATTGCCATCCATTTTTGTCAGTCATCGTGCGTCATTCATCGACTTTTCACGTTTTCTGCGAGCTTGTTTTTTAAGAACTGCTGATTCAATTTAAATCAGATTAAGTCACTAACATCCTTACCTAGAAAGGCGTAAAAACTGAAAAAGGCATGCCCACCATCCCGGAAGAGGCATTTGAGTAAACTTAGATAATAAGTTGACATTCGAAAATGAAATATGCGAAAAAGTAGATAAAGTGAGCTCTGTTGTGGAAAAAGTAAAGTGTTGAACAAGTTTAGTTTTAAAGTGTTATTCATTTCCGTAGTCAGACCTTATATCGAGTGTGCAAACCAAGTTCGATGCCTCAATTTAGAACAATTACCAAGACTTAATCGAGGCGTATAAAATCCTTTCAGGAAAATATGATAAAAAAGCTACAGATTTTTTAAAATTTAGGAAAATTCAACCACAAGAGTTCATAACTGCAACATATTTTTCGAAATTAAATATTCGTTCACTCAAAGAAAAGTTAACATATGGAACACCTTTCTATAGAATGTAGCAAACGTAATGTAAGCTTAAAAGCATAAGTACAAAATCTAAATGAAACGCAGAAATATTATTTTAAAGTGGGATTAAATTAACTTCGGACTATATCATTACTAAATCAAACACTATTTACTTTACAACAATTGAAAGACATTTCTCAATGTGTGGCCATATGAAAGCGCGCGATTAGTCTTTCTGTGGGAGGAAATGGGAGTATCCGGGGAGAAAACACATGTGTCAGACAGGTGAACCAGTATATGTACACGTCTATTCCCGGGAATCGAACCACGTGAGTGTAGGTGAAATGTGAGAACTACTGCGTCATCCGACCAACAGTCTATATGTAAAAATGGATAGATAATTGTGTACAGATTTGTGAATATTATCAGAATAAAGCATATATAGTATCGACACAGGTGAAAGAAGATGTCTCAGTAGGACGGCTTGTCTATTCGACGAACACTTAAAGGTATGTAAAGAAATCGTATGGAGTTGTTGATATGCGAGTGTGTTTGCATTAATGCATTAACGCCTAGGTGTTCTTCTATATGTCAAAGTTATTAAGGGGGCAACGGTACGTTTACACAATACAGTATGTTATCAGATATTGTCTGAATACGTGATTTCGTTCAGTTGTTGATTACTTTCTCCAGTGCATTACACGTGGTCTGTTTGTCTATTCACTCTTACTGCTAGTAGATTTTCTGCAGTTTCTCTTTTGTTCATTAGTGTAATAGCTATTTAAGTCATGAACTTGTTCATTATCTAGTACATACATGTGTTTCTTCTGAACCCACGGTATTCACTTTTCTTTGTGAAACCAACTTTCATATTTGTGACATTAAGCTGTTTCTAGTGACATCTGATGACCCTACTCCATAATGACATGCAACTTATAAATACATTATTCATCTCTTCGGTTTCTTTGAAAAGTTACATAGAAGATCAATAATTATATTACAGTTCTACAAAAGTTATTTTCAAGAGGTTATAAGAAGGAGCAGTTTCCATCAGTTCAAATTATTCCGACGTTATACCGACAGATTATGTCGGTCTAGCATCGGTGAACGTCAGATCTCTAGTCATACGTTATTTGTCAACATAAAGTGAGGAAACTAAGCGACCCGCGCCTGTGTCGACATTCAAACGATATATAAAATACATGTGAAAATTACTGTCTTTCCCTAATAGCCGTTTAAATGCCGACCTTGATGCGAGTCGCTAATTTCCCTTACTTTATGCTGACAAATCACTCATATCTGTCTCTTTAACATTAAACATTTTAAAACGTTTTAACAAATATCAGTTGTTTAGTATTTATAGCATGATTAACACTTAAGTACAATTATATTTTTATTTCTAGTTACAGTATTGACCTTTTCCCCCACCGTTTGTTCCTTTGTTTCTTTATCTCTCTGCAATAATCGTTCTGATTTCAGTGTATCAAGAATAATTTGCTACAATATTTTTCATCATTAATTTAATTATTTATATTTTGGACTAAGTTTTAACTTCTACAAATCTACACAATGGTATATATTTACGATAACTAGTTAACTTTAGATATGTATTACATGTACATTATGCTAATACATTATCCTGTCTGCTGGATGACGCATCGGTTAGGATGGTCGGCAATACAAATAAGAGTTATGTATACACATGTAACGGTCGGTCGGAGATGGGCGGGTTCCTTATTACAGCGATTAATGTCGAGGTCAGGTACGTGTATAAACGCCTGGGATTTCGGATGATTTTATTTGTTTACCTGAACCATATACTACTACGTTACACTTCACACTTATCTTAATGGATAAATGTGGTTAAGAAATAGTTTGCTATTACAATCCACACTCTCCTTTCACAGGTAATCATGATTGCATCACTATAAAGGGTTATGTGCACTGAACTTTGTTTAAAAAAGGGCAGGTAATCAATAAATTAGTATTGATCATATTTGTTTATACTATGCATATATAAGATATAGCATATTTTGTAGCATTAGGATTCCCTTGTCACACGGATACAAAACATGTTCTTTTTTATGGAAAATTGTAATGTCTCAAGGAGTTATTTCTTTTTCCTCGAAATATAACATTATTTGAAAGATACACTCCCACTTTCCCCCAACTTCAGCAAAATTCCCCCATTGTATCTAATATCTTGTTTATTCTTCTCGGACACTGAATCTTGAATTATCTAATTAACTAGGCTTTATACGTTGTATATACTTTGTACATTTAGCTGATTTTAAAGTAAACGCACCATTTATCAACTACATAGGAAAATAGTCCTTGAGCTCATTACAATGAATAATGACTGATACAAATCGTGACACAAGCGTTTCCTGTATGGGGGCTGAAGTACATCAATTGGAGTGATTTTCATGTTTTGGGGTAAAACGAATTATTTTCGCAGAAGTTTGTACTTGTCAATTCCTATTCATGTCCAAAGGTCAAATGTCACGATCTCCATCGTTGCAAATATCAATATGAATTTACTGCAGAAATATGATATATAGGTTCGGTAAATATTGATCTATTATAAACATTTGATGACGCATAATTGACTGAAATCAAACAAGCAGGTATCTGACCAAAGGTCTAGGACATCTGGTCAAAGGTCTTAAGATTCTCAAACTCTTATCAGGAAGATTTTAGCGAGAAACTTAGGTGTCTGGACTATAGAAGGTCCGCTGTAATTAAACTGTTTTCAAACACATACCAGGTGATTTTGTTTATTTATCAATATTTAGTTATTTACTGATGGTATTTTTATCACCAAGTGTTCTTTTTTCCCCTTGATATTTCCTTTCTAGCATGTTTTATCTGTTTATATGTCACCGGGAAGGATTATTTCAACATGTATAACAGTGATTTTAAATCTTCGCCCACTCTTACCTAAAATCAGGTTAACGTGAAACCAAATACGAAACGGCTGTACAAACAGGTATATGATCCAGCTTTTGACCGCTTTCCAGCATGGCGCTGTCTAAAGTTACCGCTGCAATAGCAGAAATACCCAGTAGTGTGAAGCTTATTGGTGGAACTGTGGTTGCTGGAGCAGTCTTGATAACTGTCCTGAAAAAACTTAGATTCTGGCAGACAGAGAGGTAGGTTGACAAGAGAGTACGTTTATAATTTCTAATGTAGACGGTAAACTTTTGTTATTGAAAGCGTTGTTAGCTTATAGAGTGGATAATATTACAAGTCTGCTTCTTTTTTCCTTGTGCAACAATGTTTACTAGCCATTATGTCGGTGTAAAGATATCTTTATTTGTATTCAGAAGAAAGGAGTATCCCCCAGATACCATCGTTATCTGTCAGATGGGTCGTGGTCCTTACGTCCCTAGTCTCACGCCTTTTGCTATTAAACTTGAGACATATCTTCGGTTGGAGGGCATACCTTACGAGGTAAGTTTCTATTTTGTAGATAAATAAGGCTATTTGTACATAGTTGTTTATTCTACCCAACCATGTTTTAGTCACGAGACAAATTCTCGGGGTGACCTATTTTGAATGTTATTTGTCCGGCGTCGTGCGACTAACTATGAACATTTTAAACTTCTTCTGGAAAACTCCGTAACCGATTCCGATGAAACATTGCAGAAACGAGTCATGGCCAAATACGCACAAAAAGGTAAATTAAACATCCCCCATCCAAAGGGTCCTAAGAGGCGAGACCAAAAAGAGTCAAATTGATAAAAACCCTATTTTTTCTTTTCAGTTCCCAGGTATGGTAGAATCAAATACTCTTCATGAAAGGAAAGGCTTTTAGATGCTTTACCGAAATTGTAAATATCATAACACGGGGGTCTCACATTCCCCCTCGGGAAAGGGTAGAATTTACTATAGTTAAATAGGAAATAATATTTTAAGCATATTTTGATTATTTCCTTTTTGAAATAGTTTAAACTTAATAAGGATTATAATAAGATGACATTTCTATGAAACACACATATTGACCCACACTGACGATCAAGGGATGATGGATAGGGCCAAAAAAGGGGTAAAATTAACTGAAATTAAGAACAAAATGTCTTCTTTTCAATACATAGATAAGGTATAACAGAATACTTTGTTCGGAGGATAGTGCCTTGGTTACTCCACCCAAATTGTAAATTCCATGACTCCAGGGTCTCACGTCAACCTCCCACCCCCACCCATACCCACTGTGGAGGGGAAAGTTTAATTATAGTTTATAGTAGAAAATGGCATTTTTAAGCATTATTTGTATATTTTCTTTTGGGAATAGTTCACACTTGTTTAGATATATAAGTATTAGATGCCAGTTTGACGACATTCACATATTGATCCTAAACCTTGGGGCTGATTGGCGGGATCGAAAGGGGTCAAATTGACTCAAATGTCGATGATCTTCTCATTACCGAGATGATATAGACTAGCAAATACTGTTCACAGGTGAAAGACTTTATACAGAAATATTACATTTTTGAGTGTAATTTCTTTTAATTCAAATTTTTAGAAGCCTTGGGATTTGGCGGTTCATTATCTTAAGTTATGCACAATTTACATTTTCATTGCATGTACAATATAGTTCAGGTTATCTTACATTTGTAGAATTATTTCTTAAATTTTAAGAAGCATTTTATCTCGGGTGATATTTAATGCACTCGGGCGTCTCTCTGAAAACAAATGACCTACCTTAGTTTGAATTATGATTATATTGACATGTTGGTATTCTCTTGTTGTTTCTTACGTCTATTCTGTATTCGATAATCTGTTGAGAAGATTTGGCAATCAATCTATGTTATCGTAGAGACCCAAATCATAAACACAACAATTACAACCATTGTGCTGAGACATATGTCTGCAACAATTACAACCATTGTGCTGAGACATATGTCTGCAACAATTACAACCATTGTGCTGAGACATATGTCTGCAACAATTACAACCATTGTGCTGAGACATATGTCTGCAACAATTACAACCATTGTGCTGAGACATATGTCTGCAACAATTACAACCATTGTGCTGAGACATATGTCTGCAACAATTACAACCATTGTGCTGAGACATATGTCTGCAACAATTACATTTGCATTAACTTCCATTTACATTATAATTTTCTGTATTAATCAACATGCTTTTAATCTGTACCAGGTTGAACATAACTTGCTTAGGAAAAGTAAGAAAACAGGAAAAGTGCCGTTTTTACTGTACAATGGAGAAGAAGTTTGCGACAGTGAGTTTATTCTCGAGTTCCTCAGTAAGGCGAAACAGTTTGATCTTCACAAATGCCTTACATCGGAACAGATTGCGATTGGCAGAGCCTTTCAGAAAATGGCAGAGGAAAATACTTACTGGTGGGTCATCTTACATCATAAACATACATAATAATGCTACAGACTCGAACCTTATGCTTATTTTATCGATATATACTAAAAGGATAAAGAAACGCAGGGTGAACTTTAAACCAGAAATTAAGTATGATATCGGGCTTCATTTAAAACGAAATTTTGTATACTTACAGAAAAATTAAAGCTTAAAAATTTCCAAAGTCTGTATTTTGCAACTGACAATTGGTTTAGAGGTACTAACGATTAAATTGAATGGACCCATAGGATTTTGAGTCATCAAAATCTTGTGTGTCCGCCGGTTGCTGTGGTCACGGCCCTTATTCTTCTGGTCATAGAGTTCATGAGAACGTTAATTCGTCTTATGGGGATGTTGTCCCGCTCTTCAATCAGAGCTCTGGTCAACTGCTCTCGAGTAGCAGGGGGTGGCTGGCGCTTTCGAACCTGTCTATCCAACTGGTCCCAAAGATGCTCGATCGGGGACAAATCAGGGCTATATGGCGGCCAATCTAGTGGTTGAATGTTGTTGTTGGCCAGAAAGACTTGGCAAATCCTTGTTACGTGGGGCCTAGCATTATCCTGCTGGAGGGTTAGATTATGCTGCTGTACATTACATCGGAGGATCTGCTGCTGTTAAATTGCCATCAATGACAACCAATTGTGATTTTAATCCAAACCTATCTCTCTCTACAACGCAAGCGTTCGTAAAACGTTCGCCACGACGTCGGTAGACACGTTGACGGCCGTCAGATCGATAAAGACAGAATCGAGACTCGTCCGTGAAGAAAATTTGTCTCCACTGCCTCAGTGGAAACCGTCGTGGAGCATGTGCAGCGACCCAGGCCATACGACGCTGACGTCGAGCAGGGGTAAGATGTGGACCTACGTAGGGGCGACGTGCTCTTACACCAACTTCTCGTAATTGATTCCTTTTTTAACTTATAGGACGCCCATTATTTCCACGAACATTAAGTGCACTCTCAACGGCAGTAAGGCGCCGATTACGCACATGAGAGACGACGATATAGCGATCCTGACGTCGTGACGTTACGCGCGGACGTCCTGACCTAGGTCGATCGGCCAATCGCCCAGTTTCCCGAAGACGTCTTACAAGACGTTCTATGGACGAAACATTTACACCAAAGTGCCTAGCAACCTGATTTTGCAGCTGTCCTTGCATCAGCATCTGAATGGCCTGACCCCTCTGAACTTCTGTGGATCATGCCATTCTTAAAACGAATCAAATTCTCAATTAATTTTAGGGAAGCAGTTGGTCTATATAAAGACTAACGAAGAGTGACTTGACCAACGCTGCATGAGACCAGAACAACACGGTGCACGAAATTCTTGTTTTTGTCCTTCCTCCATTTACCAGAGCTGGACACTGTACCGTGACTAAATTTTCGATACATGACAAGGTGTAATATGACCTAATTATTCAATCCACAAAGTTTCACTTTATTTGGTGAACACATTTTCAAAATATCGGAATAAATATTACCCTGCGTTTCTTTATCCTTTTCAGTTGATATGTTTCTCGAGTATGTTTTAATTTAAAATTTGTTTTGCCAAGAAAACTTCTGCAGACTATTCAGAACGATGTTAATACCAGTACCAGACTGGCGCTTTATCATGTCCTGTATACCGTTAATGCTTCATAATGAAATTAAAACGAGTTTATTTCTTTCATTTACAGGTGTTTTGTAGCAGATAGATGGATTCTTGACAAAACCAAAACAGGACTGAAAGAATTAGGTCTTCCACGATTTCTATGGTATATAGATAGATATCTTATGACTTTCAAATTGATGCTTAGTCATTTACAAACAAATGTATCAGTAGATCACTTTTAAACCTAGTTGAATATTGTATTAAGGAGATAAATTAATTAAGATGCATCTACTGGAGAGAAAAATCACGAGTTGAATGATTTGTCGACTAATATTAAGAAGTAGAATAAAACCTATCAAGTCCATCATGTTACCCCTAACAATCCTTGTGAACATGCAAGAAATGACGCTTTCTTATGCCTCATACCAATTCGTGTCAAAGTGCATGTAAAGTGCAAAAATGGTGATATACATGTGTGCGAAATATACATCAGACTCATTGTTTATATGTATCTTAATTGCAACACATTTCTGTGAGCAATAAAGATGATTTGTTAACGTTGATCGATAAAATAGACACCAGAGGGATACCTAGGAATTTGATTTGATTGTTGATTTTGTAGTTTTTACAAAAATAAATGTATACACCTAAACATCTTTTACAATTAAAGACTTCCATTCTCAGGTGGAAAATGCAAAGAACTATTAAAGGAATGATACATGCTCAAGGTATAGGACGGCACACACCTGAAGAGATCAATTACATCATGTCAGAAGATCTGAAAGCCATTTCTGATTTTATTGGTAACTGTTTCCTCAGTATCTTAAGTACATTTGCTCATTATTTTATGATGTCGCTTATAATTTGTTGACTTCGTTCGTATATGAAATATTGTTAAATTATTTCAGATCTGTCATTGTCGAGTCCAAACATTATACTAAGGCACCGGTTTTAAGTTTAGCGATGATAAGGTGACAATAACACACGAAAGTGAAAACAGAAACCGAGACCATTTGTTTGTCTATCCTAATGTTTAGATAAATAATCCTTTAATCGCCAGTGACGCGACATTGAAAATGATCCCAAGTTAGAATTGATCGGAGGGTAGGACGAGGGATTTATGTTTGCCTTAATTACCATTCCATCAATTTCATAGTGCCAAATCAAGCCCAGCTCATGCCTTTTAAACTGAAAACCTCAAAGTTGATTTTGCCAATAAAATGCAATGCTAGGTTGTTTATCAGTACAAGAAAATGTTCCGAAAGCAATAAATACATAGACAGCTTAGTAATTTAACCAGTGTATGATAGTTATCGAGAATCAGGTCGTAATGTGGCACATTACCAATGAACAATCATCTCTGCAATGCACATAGGTCATTGTCTTTTATCTATTTTTTTGTTTTGTTTTGTTTTTTGTTTTTTTTTTTGTGTGTGTTTTGTTTTTTTTTTGTTGTTTTTCTTTTTTTGTTTTTTTTTGTTTTTTTTTTTTTTTTGTTTTTTTTTTTTTGTGTTTTTTTTTTTTTTTTTTTTTTTTTTTTTGTTTTTTTTTTTGTTTTTTTTGTTTTTTTTTCGGGTTGTTTTGTTATTGATTGTATTATTTCCTTATTATTTATTTAGGAACAAAGAAATTTCTTTTTGGTGACAAAGCGTGCAAATTTGATTGTGCTATTTTTGGAATTCTGGCCGAGATACGATGGGCGTCGTTCGGAGGATTTGGAACATCAGTTATTAAAAGTGAGATTAATAAGCAGGTTTCTGTTATTTACAATAATATATGTAGAACAATGATAAACCTGAGAAAATTGCCTTTTTGGAAGTTCTTACTCCACTAGAAAACTGAGTCTTTTCTCTATTCAGATATCGCACTCCTGTTTATTTTTACGCCTACATGTATTTACATATGTGTATAAATAACGTCAATCAAATTATACAGAATTACCTATACGGCACTGTAGTGTTACGATAGGTAATTCAAATTACACTAAATAATTGTCACTTCGGGGCGTTGTTGTGGTGTAACGATCAAGCAATGCAAGCCTTAGATGGTGTTACTTAGTCATTTACAATCGAAGACTGAAACTTATCTACAAAATTTGTATTTCTACGTAGTCATAAATAGTAGGCATCATATATCCAGAAGTATGTTTGTGCAAATGATGTAATGACATATTCTGTGTGTAAATCAATAAGAACTGTTGTATTCCCGAACTTAATTGTAACAGGTATAATAAATGCGTGTTTGTGTTTATCATCCACAGACTATCCTAATCTGTGTGACTACTGTGAACGGATGAAGAACACTTTCTGGCCTGACTGGAATGAGAAGATACAAAGAGACTGTACCAAGTAGTGAGTAAGTCGCTTGTTTGTAATGGAGAATGCATTTTTTAAAAATGTATGAACAAAGAGTGTATCTAGATGAAAATGACATATACTTATTTGAATGCAATTTGTAGTTTTACTATATCGGAGTAACTGTGACATAGTTAATCAAATGAGTATCTTAAGGTTTTTATTCTTCAAATTTTCTGCCTAACATTTTGAAAAGGCGAATACAAGTTCTAAACCAAAACATTCTGTTATATGTCTATTTTATCTAAATGGAAAAAATATAGACTAGCTTTGTTTTAAATATGCTCTAGTTTATGAAACTAATTAAGTGTGGGGTTGATAATTATATAACTTTTACTTCTAAATTATATCCATTTATGTGGTGCAAATCAATCATTTTGGTTTCAGAGTGTACACTCGGTCATAATAAGACTGATTATTGAGGACCAGCACATAGCGGATGTGATTGAATGTGTTTGTTTATAGTCTATTGGACGTTGGGTACTTGTTTAACATTTATTTTCAAAGGTTGATTAACTTTACCCTTGCTATTATTTGTTTACAATAGTTTTTATATGAGACATGAACTTATGATAAATGTTAACTTGTTCTATCAACTTTGTTGTACTTTCATGATATTCAAGCATAGTGGTACTTGTATCCACGTTGAAATTAGTGTTTTATAAAGCACTTATTTTGAAATTGAGAAATAGCTAAACGGGTGTCTTTATGTTTCAATGAGATACCGATTTTTTGATACTGTTGAATATATGTTTTCCTGCATAAAATGAAGGAATATTGGAAATTATAACAAATTAGAAAATAAAGTGATCAAATTTTTTAATCAAATGTCTGAAGTGTGATTTCTTTCAAATTGCATGTCATACGCCTAGGTAATTTTATTCCAGTACAAGAGGTATTCGATTACACAACTAAGCTAACTTTGAGGTAATCGAATTATCTATACATTCTCTTTTTATGACGTCCATTTTGGCAGCGAATTAATCTGCCTGTGTAGAATGAAGCATGTTCATCATTTTTCAAGAGTTAAATTTACGGCCGTGCAACTGTACAGGTCGAAAGACAATGCTTGCAAGGAAATGTGTGGTCGTCGCATTGATTTCATCATCTCTGACCTAGATTTTATGGTATGTGTCGTCGATGAACTAGAATATTCGAACTCTTCCGTAGTGTTTGTTTTATTATCATCGTACTTTTTCAACAACCTGCGTGTAAATCTTCTTTTGTTTGTGTTTGATTCTAGTTTTATGGTTTTCATCGACTTTAAATTAATTTTTCTATGATATTTTCTTTCTTTTTTCGAATCTTACTAAACATATGAAGAGGAGTTACTTTTACTATTTCAGCATAGGCAAACACACGTAGAATTGCCTGAAATTTCACACATTTGCTCATTAGTTAAGTAACAACGGTTTAAGAAAATGTTTACACGAAGGTTCAAGGTTTTTCTCGATCTGATCAGATAAATAAATATTGTATTGATGTGGGTAGGTACCTCCTTTTATGTAGTTTGTTTTAGTATCATTTATTTCTTTAATGCCACAGTTGTACACTAACTTTGATAGATATCAGTGGTTCGATCGACTAGATACATGAAATGAATATTGAACTTAAATCATTCATATAATACAAAGTTTCCTCTTTTATGCGTTATACAAAAAAGTGAGTAACTAGTATTTTTTCTTTTAAAACAATAGTACACATATCATAATTAAGATGCCATTCGAGATTTCGCAGGAGAGTCGCGCCATAAAACAACACCCTAAAGAATTGATTGGTCACTGCTGTCGTTATAAAACTTGATATTTGTCAACTACTCTCAGTTAATAACCACTTAATTTGTCATGTCTTTACCATGTTTTTTTAAAGCTAACTTGTATAGAAATGTCAAATGCTTGATCATGATATATCTAGAATTCGAAACAGTTCATGTACGTTAGTAATTCCTCATAAACATTCAAAGTCGTATTTTTTTACATCCGTTTTTACATTTTAAAGATCGTGGTTGTGTCTTTAATTACATTTCTGAATGTTTTTTTTTCAAAACAAATTCCTAATCTGTATCAGATTTTACATCTGGCGGTTATAAATATAACATTTATTAGTAATATTTTTTTCAACTGCTCCGGTTATTCAAGCGTTTTTCTGCTTCATCGATTACACATTTCATGCAAATTTTGGTCAATTAGAATAAAAAAAAGCATGTTTGCTATGCCTTGAAAAGGACAGGGCTCAGACCAATACACGGACATGTTATGGAGAAATAGATACTCAGAGCTACTTAAAAATTTGCTATTTTCAAACACATTATAAACAATACACTGTGTCCAATACTTAAAAAGCAAGGTATGTCGTATTGTTTTTAAAACATATAGATGTATATTTGATATTGGTCTTTGTGTCTCTGAAAAAAAGACGATGAAAATGATGAATCCAGTTGACAGCAAACATGCATTCATATACGTTAAACGCAATTATGGTTTGTAAACACCGTATACAGGGATCTCAATTTCTCTTTCTTCACAACGGAAGAACCATACCTCAAAACCGTATGTAATTGTTTCAATACTGGAAATTGTGACTATTGTGTTCACATATACATCAATAGCCTTTTTGGAAAATCTTACAAACAAGTCCATCGACGGTATCTTCAACCAAACACTTGGTCATATTCTTGATCACACGATGAATATATTTTCTTCTTTGCTGTCTCAACGTTACTTCGCTTTGCCCACAGATTTATCTCTCTTAGACCAGGACAGGTTACAACCCGGAAACGTCACCAGATTCTTAAATGAGGTTTGGGCCATTTTCAAATGTAACGAATATGACAAACGTTTGAGAGGTAAAGCGCATCGCAGCTTCGTCACATTGTGTAAACTGGTTAGTAATTCAAGAATGGTTGTTGTTTCAATCATTGTTTAAGGCTTGGATCAGTTCTTGCAAGTTTAATGCCTGAGTTTCTCTCAAGGGTTTCCAAAGAACATCACATGGTTAAATTCTAATAAATCCAACATTGCGAGATATTAAAGGAATAAATCTTACATAACATTTTGTCTAAACAACAAGAGAAAACCCCGACCTCGGCGACGCTCATCGTATAAATATGTCAGTTCTAAGTAAGAAATGACACAGTTAAAAACAACAAAATCACTAGGCATGCTTAATGGCATCGACAAATATATAGTACTGAGAGGTGAAGAGCGGAGCAAATGTGCCATAAATGAGTGGTGATTTTGAGACCGAATTCATAAGTCGGAATGAGTTGGATTTATTATTCCGCTGGTGTTGATACTATGTAACGACCAATTGTATAATTACCTTGTCATGTCCAAGAAGCAGGTAAGTCATTTGCTGCAAGGTAATAGACATTCCGCTGTATTGAAATACTGATTAAAAGCAAAGCTGCTGCGGGGAGATTAAGGCGACTTTGTATTTCATTACTCTATCAAACGTTAATAGCTGACACTAAATGATTAATACAACGGTTCAGTAAACAATCCTTGTAGGTTCGAGGTTCTTCTTGAATGTCGAATCCGAGAACGTTAATGATTGAAGTAAATAAAAGAAATATCAGACTGATAGCGATATGATTTATGTCCGCTTTGACTTTTTATAGACGTCTGAAAAAGTAAAAGGAGATAAGACTAGGTGTCCGGAAGAGTAAGCGTTTTCTGCTTCATCGACGACACCTGCCATGTTAACCTTGGTCAATTCAATTAAGTAATGTCACCATCGCAAACGAGAACAAGGTATACAATGAAAGAACGAACTGGGAAACTAACGAGCTTGAAACACGTCAAGTTTATATCGTACAATGAAATGGAATATTTTCCAATGATATCACGAGGACAACCGTAAAACGTCTCCATATTTTTCATAAATCTGCATATTTTGAAACCCTGTGTTCGAGTCTGTCCCTCCGTTGACGACCTCTTGCATGAAAATTGTGATAATGGGAACATATACTTGAATATCGAATTAACTGCGATATGTAAAAACAATAGGCTGGGGATGCAGGGATATTGCTGTACAAAAATAGAAAATTCACAATTGGGAAATTACAGTTTGGTGGAAAGCTGCCCTTGTTGGTTTCGTTGTAGGAAAAACTCGATATAAGCGATTGATATAAAAGAGTCTGTCGTGTCTGTGATTTCAAATTTTGGTGGTTATAAACGGTGGACGTGATCAATAAAGTTCTTGTTATTGAAAGACAAGATGTCATCAATATATATGAAAGTGATATCAGGCGACTTTGCAAATCTTTGTGTACTATGATTCTTATAACACATTGTCAAAACTGGAAATGAATGTATAATAGTAATATAATATAAACTCATATTTCAAATATTTGTTTCATTACCGATAATAAATATTTTACTTGTATTTGCACACAACATCAATGTTTGTCAACCTGCAGCCGTCAAGCCGCATTATACATGATATATATTTATCATTTTTTGAGACAATAAAGAAAATAAACATTGTAACTCCAATGACATAAAATATATGACAACAGAGAAAAGAAAAGAAAAAACATTTTTCAATAGAAAAACAAAGCTTAATTGTTTGACCAGAATATAACGCCAAAGTTTAAAACAATTATCGCATCGATAACTAACAATTGTAATTTCATATTTTTTAGAATAGTGTGGCGTTATATCACTTGTACCAAGAAACGGCATTGGAAAAATTATATATAATGCAAGAAGTGATACCTTGATAGTCTTGTAAGATAAGATGTATTCTCTGAATTTCTGGAATATGACTACTGATTTTCAGAAATAATATCAATAGAATTATTCTCATACATAGGAACTGAATTCAGGCTGATCCAAAAGTGTGGAAATTGGTTGAATATGAACTATACCTTGTCGTACAAAAGGAACGATAGTACGCATGTTATCAACATCGTTGTCATCTTGGTGTATTACATCTACCTATGTGAAGTAAAACTGAAAGAAATCCCTGTATGACGGTAATGATTATATGCTGGAGTTGGGAAATAACCTTAAGTAGTTAAAAATTACCTGTAAGGAAAATGTCTAACGAATTATAGATCCAAAGTCATCGTTTTAGCTATATTATAAGCATCTAGTTCTACCTTGCCTTTTGTTAATACCAAAGTTCTTAAAACATATTGGTTTAAAGAATGGACGGAAATGCACAATATTGAGCCAATTAAAAGACAAGTCTGCAAAAATGAAGGGAACCGTAGAAATCTAATTGTTTCCTGCAGAATAAAGATTGCAAATGTCTTCCAGAGGAAACCTTCGTTAGGCATTCAATAGGTATATGTCTGAACAGTTTGATAAAATAACAAAATTCCTTGATAAACCGAGGGAAAACTCACATTGCACCCACCGGGAGGACATTGATCAATATTAAACAATCTAAGCTAATCACACACGGAAGTCAAACAGCGCCGCCATTTATAATTGATTTGACCTGATTCAGTCTTGATGGCGTGTGTTTAAGAAATAAAGTTCAATCTTATCTGGTTATTCATTACTGCAGTCTCTCTTGGGCGAAATATGCCAAGATTTAGCCATT